ATGTTAAGAGTTTGTCAAACATTATCTACAGTTAATTGCATTGAATATCAAGTGCTGTATATTCTGTGCTGTAGAGTGGGGTCAGACACCGACATAAGAGGTCTGGGATTACATGATATTCAGTGCTCATACTATACAGTGTATACACTCTTAATTGTCAGGATCCTCAATATATTCTATTAATAAGGGGTTATAATGTTTATGATTAATCTCACAACAGCGGGAATATATGGATATTAAGTGGATTTTGATTTAAATAATTTTGTATTAACATTAAATTTACAATTCTTAATGATATATTTACCTTACGATGAGTTGAGATGAATTTATTGATCCACAATTATTATTAACTCAATTATTGTTTTATATCCTTATTTAATATACTCATTGTATTTGTTCAACAATTAAATGTTTTAATTATAAATGTCATATACTGTACAATAATATCAAATTAACATAAATTAAATTCTTGTAAAAACAATTATAACTATGCTTATTTTATATGCAAATATTATCAATTGTTTGAAATACAATATCGATTAAACTGTTAAAATAAATGCTTAGAATTGCAAAATTTAAAAAATAGTAAATTTAGATTTTTAAATAAATTTCACATTTAGAAAATATACAGATTTAATGTATTTAATCATGATTTGCTTTTATAACGGATTTCAAGCCAAGCCTTCAAATAAAATTAGTGTCAAATTCAATGTAAAATATAAGGACATAAAGAAAACTAAAACAATACTTTTTATTTCATTTATTTCAAACAATTATTTCATATATTTATATGTTTTATTTTAATCATAGATTTATTTATACAAACATTTAATATAGTCTCAAATATGATTAACAATTGAGTGCTTATTATAACAATTTTCAGGCATTTATAATATTTANTTTTAATCATAGATTTATTTATACAAACATTTAATATAGTCTCAAATATGATTAACAATTGAGTGCTTATTATAACAATTTTCAGGCATTTATAATATTTAATATAATATTAAAGATATTTAACCATATATTCACTTGTATTTTAATCAACATTATTACCAAAAATGGATAAATCAATAATAAATATAACAAAAAATTAATAATTTCATACCAAATGCTTAATACAAAGTTCTATATTAATGTAATAACGAAAGTGTTTAATCATAGGATATGAACGTTCAAAATAAGGCAATAAAAAACAACAAAATTGAAAACAAAAAACATATTTTCACTTAAATTATTGAAACAAAATTTAAAAACCCTTTTCACGTCTTATATAGAAATCTTATAGAATTAAATTTACTTTCAGGTAATGACTTCACAAGAAGTGCTTTTAATAGTGACAATCAAGTGATTGATCCAATGATTATATCAATAATAAGATAACAAACAAATTGACTGCAAATCTTTACACGAGTTTGTGTTCAGCAGTCGATACGTAACTCTTGACTCGTGAGAACCAAAACGACGGAAACTTATTGGCAGTTAACTCAAAATTAGTGACCATTTCATGGCCGTTAGGCTTACGGTATTGAACCGAATAGTGTTTCCATAAGAGCTGATGATTTGGGCGCTGTTTCACAGTTTTCACGTCCAATGAGATGTTGAACGTCTGTGTGGACACACTTTTGTCCCGATTCTTACCCTTATATTTACGCGCCATTTGACTGCTCTCTGAGATGATGTCCCGTTTCATGACTATGAAAATGGTCTGTCCATTGATGCCGTAGTGACCGCTCAATACGTTACTATTCCTGGGCTTTCGGCGACGAAGTAATGGCAAACTTTGATGCGGATCGTCGGCTGTGGTCAACATCAACACGAGTCCTGTTTATAAGCAATTATTACATTCATGAAGAATGAGTTGACATCAAGAGAGCGAACCGTTGGGAAAGAATCTGATGTATCGATAGTACTCAACGAGATAACAGGGCCTGTAGTGGACGTCTTGGAAAGAGGCCTCTCCTTGCCTTATATAAGTGGTGCGACTGATGTAAGCGCCGTTAAAGTTGGGCCGAACTCTCTCTACAAACATATGCCGCCAATTATTGCCGTAATTAGAGATCAGGGAAGCGCTCGAATGGCTGTCCCACGCGTTATAACACGATAAACGCCACAACTCCTGGTCTCCTATAAATGGCCACAAAAACAGTTACAAATTTATCACTAAATTATCAAAAAAATAATAATGCATTACTCGACGCGATATAAAATCCACGACAAACTGATCCAAAGAGTTCCAGAGATCGTAAGTCCAGTTCATTGGATACAATCTGTGGATTAAGAGATTGTTTAAAAAATGATAACAAGTCTTATAATGATCTTTAATACCCATTTAAGAATATTAAGGACCACTTCAAACGGCAGACACGAGAAGTGTGTCCTCGAAGTCATCTGTTTTGGTGAGCAAATGAAGACATTTCCAAACTCATCGCAATTCAAACGCAAGAATCTTGTGATTAGATCACAATCGCTGTCATCGAAATCGTCGTACGTTTCGTTTGGATCAATGTTTGATTGATTAGCGCTGTCTTCGGGATCACTGTTCTCCACGTTTTCATTGTTTGACTCCATTCTGGTCTCCAATCTATACATTTTGAACTCAATGTCGGGAACCAATTGAGTGGCCCTACGATAGAAGGCCACCGCGTCATACATTTTGCCCCTTTGCTCAAGAAGTTCCCCCTCTTTGAACAGTTCCATGGCTTTCAGGTCTACATCTGTTATCGTGTCGTTTCCTCTGTTAAATCAAATTTAAATTAAACCAAATTATTATAATATTATGTCTATTAAAACATTAAATCCATTGCAAACTTCATACTAATAATAAGACATTATAATTAATTAAATGAATTAAACTAAACAAATGTCTCTTAGTTTTTATCCTATTATTGTCTACATATTTACGGAAATAAAACGTTTTTATGTTTATTGCATTTAATGCTCAAATTTTTATCGGTTTAAGAAATGTTTAACAACTGATAAACACATGAAAACAATTAATAAAAGTTATCAAAGAATATAAGATATAGTAATCAATAAAAGAGATCATTGCCTCAAATGATTGCAATTCTTAGTGCTTTCCAACTCTCGTCTCCAGTTTTCCCGGAAATTATCCAAAACTTCCATCAGATTGTCATCATTTGTCTCATTGGACTCGTAGTCCACGTAATTGTCGTTAACTTCGGACCGATTGGCACTTTTATAACCACTGTTTCGCTCCTAAAATGTCATTCAAAATAAACACTAAATGCAACAAAAATGAGACAACAATTTGCTTACCATTTGATGTGTGAATTGAGTGTTAAAACTGATCACTAAATTGTATTCAAAATAAAATTTATGATAAAAACAAACGACAAGAAAAAAAGTAATGGTTTGGATGTGTTTGGGATTCAGAAACTGATTTCACGGTCAGAATTGAAACTGAGAACTGATCCAAAGAGTCGATGTCTTCGTCCGGCGGCCATGTCTTCGGTGTTGAGCTGTAATGAGAGATAATGACCAGTAATTAATTCAATGAAAGGGTCAACCATTGAGTTTGCAATCAAATGAATGGCATTTCAAATGGCATTTACATTAAATTATAACGTCTTTTAAAGTAATATTTAATCACTCAATAAGTGCTCAGTTGTGGTGATTATCACTCAATGAGATGACTGTATGAATGGTTTGATTGGCGACTAAATGGCATACAATTGACAATTGATTAGCGATTAAAAGGGATTCATATTTAGATTGCAATCAAAACAAAACACTGTTTTTGCTGTCAATACAAGCGATGGCTTCAGTGGCGACACAATCGACACAAAGCCATACAAAGCGTACAAACAATGCATTGAAACACACATTCAGTTCCGTATGTCTAACACTCGAAGCGCTCAAACCATTCACACAAACACTTACGCAATGTATTCAATGCATTCACTTTGCATTCACTTTCATAGCAAACCTAAATCACAATTTCATACAACTTTACAGGAATGCAAAGTTTGTTGGAATATAACCAGAATCCAGAATCGAGGTCCTAGTGATAAGTCTTACGTTAGATCACACAATCACCTCATTGTTAATGTTTGCTATTTATAAACTACATTATAATAATTGAAACTTTATTTCAATAATTTTCACACAAAAATTTATACAAAGATTGATTGATAAAAATTATTAAATAATTCAATGAATAGAAGTGATAGCGAAGACATATAATACATGCAAACATGTAATAATGTGTTTCAATTCATATCACATAATAATATCACTGTTTGGCAAATAATGTGATCAACAAATCGCGAGATTTTAAACAATAAATTGAAGAATAAATTGCATTCAAAATGAGATAAAACTCTAATTATTTAAACTGATTCTAGACTTCATTAACAACACAACGGTTTCCACTCTTTTGATTGAATTTCACAAAAATGTCATCTTTTATATCAGTAATGATTGTCTGTTTGATGAGTACTGCACTGATGGCAATGAATGGCACTCAAGAAGAATATTCACTATTGAGACCCAATTCGTCGAGTCTTTCAAAGACTGCAAACGAAACTCTATTCAAATATTACGACCGAATGCTAACAGAAGTCCTAAACATTCGCATGAATTTTCCGGTCACTGGTCTTATCATCAGTTGTCTCGTCATTGGGTTCTTCGTGGGTCTCATCTTTGGCTGCGGTTGTGGTGTATGTATGGGTGCCCTCGCCTTCAGTGACCCCGAAGTGGAGGTTAGAGATCGCAAACAAATGAAAGCGAACCGTAAATGTTCTAAGAGCGGGCCTTAGGGCTGGAATACGTGGCGTATTTGTTCTTAATATCCCGCGACAGACAACAGGCCATTACTATTATCAATAACTCTATCAAAGCCACACCAATCGCTATATAGCCTACAATCCAATACAAATTATATGATCAGATATGAACTTATTATAGTAAAGACATTGGATTATGGGTTTCTCACCTAAACTTCCGAGATATAGCTTCATGTAATCGATGAGCGCTTTAGTGCATCCCTTGTCCTGTCATTCAATTGAAAAAATTGTGTAAAACATTTAATTTTAAGATTAGTTATTGAAATAATTATAACGATGTAATAATAGAATATATACCCAGGTATTCCTTTCCAAACATCGGGTGTCGACAATGTCCTCCCCAGACTTACAACAAGACGCCGGATAGAAACCTATAATCAATATATATTATGCACTATTAGTTTTTAATAGTAATAACCAAGTTTATTTAGTACAGACCCGGGTGTTTAGTGATTTTATCCCAATCGGTCACATCCTTAGCGCCACAGCATTGCAACTGTTTCTGGAACTCATTGATGGCTTTATTTGCGGGATCGTCGTCCGGCAGTTCCCATTTGTATGCCTCCAGAGCCGCGTATATGCCATCGTTTGCGTGCTTTTCCAACTGATTCATTCACAATTCATATTAGAAATATAATTTACTATACATTTGTATAATCACTACAAACATCATAATTGTAACGTATGGCCAGATATGCGCCCACGCCTTGCGCTGCCAGACATAATAGTATGAGAGCGCCGTACTATTGGGCAGTAGATATATTGGACAACAATTTGGGGTAAGATTATAAATTATAATCAAATATTAAATTGCAATCAATAATATGAAATATATTTTACAAACCGTGTTAAGCATACAATAGCTCTCTCGGATTGCACCACAACAGCCCAAAAAGGCGATCACCACAATGAGTCCGCCCGCGACCATAAATATTAAATTGCAATCAATAATATGAAATATATTTTACAAACCGTGTTAAGCATACAATAGCTCTCTCGGATTGCACCACAACAGCCCAAAAAGGCGATGACCACAATGAGTCCGCCCGCGACCAACAACACGATCGCCGAATAGCTTTTGATTGAAAATTATGTTTGAAATCATTTTTGAAAAAATTTAACTTCAAATCAATTAAAATGTTTTCACATTTTATTACTAATGAATTTTAAGTTGCATTAAAGCTTATAATGAGATTAGATGTGCTTTTTATGCACTCATTTACAATATTAGATACAGATAGGGATGGGAAGCGATACATACGTTGGCGTGTGTTTGACGATATCGTTCACATCGGGAGTGTATTTGAGGAGAACCCGAATACCCAGGTATATAAGAGCCGCTCCGCACACCTCACATACAAAACATGACAATTGGTTTAGTTTGCGGTCAAATATTTTCAAATCTAATCTGTGTTTCCTATTCTCTAATGCATAACAAATACATGTATTTGTGTCACAATTTCCTACAAATGTTTGAATACTGATCGATATCTTTTNACAAAACATGACAATTGGTTTAGTTTGCGGTCAAATATTTTCAAATCTAATCTGTGTTTCCTATTCTCTAATGCATAACAAATACATGTATTTGTGTCACAATTTCCTACAAATGTTTGAATACTGATCGATATCTTTTATCTTTGTATTTAATGAAGTGTTTACAGCATTATTAGTTAGTAAAGTGAATGTTTATTTTTATTTGTATTATTCAAACTTAACCATCATAATATTTCTGATAGTGTAGAAACTATTCATTAAGATAATTATTATTCCTAAAGTTATATAACTTAATGGACAATTTAAACTGAAACATACTTTTAACTAAACAATTGCCAATAACTACTTAATTGTTTAGTTTCATACAATAATAATTAGAATCAATACTTACGACCCAGATGAAGTTAAACACGAATAAAATAATCTTAATCACAGAACCGCCACAACTCTCAGCCATTTCTCGCAGCAAACTATATGTATTGAATGGCAAGTTTTATGGCAATAATATTAATATTAAAATTGTTTTCAGGTATACATGTATTATTAGATGAGTTAACGAAAAATTGCTGTTTTATTTTGTCGCTGTTTTATATATAAAATTTATGTTTTTGTTTAGCAATACATGTCTTTTTCATGCAATTGTCGTTTTGTCGGACAGAAAAAGCAGTGCTATTATTGCGAACAACAGGTAATAACAGGAGTTTCACAACAAAAGAGATCTCGTCTATGATATTAGATGTTTATTATTGGTTAGAATTTATCATTAAATCACTTGTTGTTACGGCAATGATGACAGATATTGGGATTTGATTTACGATGAATTTGCACTTTATTTTTCTATTCCCTCGATATATGTTTGTCTCATTCACTTCTTTCATATGCAATATATTATAGTGAGTCTCGAAAAATATTATTATTTTCTCGATATCATTGCCAAACGTATTAATTCATTAATTTTATGCAATGCTTTCGGATTTCAAATTATAATGAAATTTACTTATTTAATTGCACTCACATTATAAGTACTTATTAATTAAATGTATATTAATATCGATATCTATTTAGACAATAAGAATATTTATCATGTTAAGAGTTTGTCAAACATTATCTACAGTTAATTGCATTGAATATCAAGTGCTGTATATTCTGTGCTGTAGAGTGGGGTCAGACACCGACATAAGAGGTCTGGGATTACATGATATTCAGTGCTTATACTATACAGTGTATACACTCTTAATTGTCAGGATTCTCAATATATTCTATTAATAAGGGCTTATCATGTTTATTATTAATCTCACAACAGCGGGAATATATGGATATTAAGTGGATTTTGATTTAAATAATTTTGTATTAACATTAGATTTATAAGTCTTAATCATATGAATATTTTTTAACCAAATAGATCTTAGGTGATTAATTTTATTCAGCTTTTAATCATTAATAATTATAATACAATATATTTGTAGTATAGATAAAATGTAAATATTTTGTGTTTTAATCAAATTGTGATTCACCTAAGATCTTTTGGTTAAAAAATATTCATATTTACCTTACGATGAGTTGAGATGAATTTATTGATCCACAATTATTATTAACTCAATTATTGTTTTATATCCTTATTTAATATACTCATTGTATTTGTTCAACAATTAAATGTTTTAATTATAAATGTCATACACTGTACAGTAATATCAAATTAACATAAATTAAATTCTTGTAAAAACAATTATAACTATGCTTATTTTATATGCAAATATTAGCAATTGTTTGAAATACAATATCGATTAAAGTGTTAAAATAAATGCTTAGAATTACAAAATTTAAAAAATAGTAAATTTAGATTTTTAAATAAATTTCACATTTAGAAAATATACAGCTTTAATGTATTTAATCATGATTTGCTTTTATAACGGATTTCAAGCCAAGCCTTCAAATAAAATTAGTGTCAAATTCAATGTAAAATATAAGGACATAAAGAAAACTAAAACAATACTTTATTATTTCATATATTTATATGTTTTATTTTAATCATAGATTTATTTATACAAACATTTAATATAGTCTCAAATATGATTAACAATTGAGTGCTTATTATAACAATTTTCAGGCATTTATAATATTTATATTATTTCATATATTTATATGTTTTATTTTAATCATAGATTTATTTATACAAACATTTAATATAGTCTCAAATATGATTAACAATTGAGTGCTTATTATAACAATTTTCAGGCATTTATAATATTTAATATAATATTAAAGATATTTAACCATATATTCACTTGTATTTTAATCAACATTATTACCAAAAATGGATAAATCAATAATAAATATAACAAAAAAATTAATAATTTCATACCAAATGCTAAATACAAATTTCTATATTAATGTAATAACGAAAGTGTTTAATCATAGGATATGAACGTTCAAAATAAGGCAATAAAAAACAACAAAATTGAAAACAAAAAATATATTTTCACTTAAATTATTGAAACAAAATTTGAAAAACCCTTTTCACGTCTTATATAGAAATCTTATAGAATTAAATTCACTTTCAGGTAATGACTTCACAAGAAGTGCTTTTAATAGTGACAATCAAGTGATTGATCCAATGATTATATCGATAATAAGATAACAAATTGACCGCAAATTTTACACGAGTTTGTGTTCAGCAGTCGATACGTAACTCTTGACTCGTGAGAACCAAAACGACGGAAACTTATTGGCAGTTAAATCAAAATTAGTGACCATTTCATGGCCGTTAGGCTTACGGTATTGAACCGAATAGTGTTTCCATAAGAGCTGATGATTTGGGCGCTGTTTCACAGTTTTCACGTCCAATGAGATGTTGAACGTCTGTGTGGACACACTTTTGTCCCGATTCTTATTCTTATATTTACGCGCCATTTGACTGCTCTCTGAGATGATGTCCCGTTTCATGACTATGAAAATGGTCTGTCCATTGATGCCGTAGTGACCGCTCAATACGTTACTATTCCTGGGCTTTCGGTGACGAAGTAATGGCAAACTTTGATGCGGATCGTCGGCTGTGGTCAACATCAACACGAGTCCTGTTTATAAGCAATTATTACATTCATGAACAATGAGTTGACATCAAGAGAGCGAACCGTTGGGAAAGAATCTGATGTATCGATAGTACTCCACGAGATAACAGGGCCTGTAGTGGACGTCTTGGAAAGAGGCCTCTCCTTGCCTTATATAAGTGGTACGACTGATGTAAGCGCCGTTAAAGTTGGGCCGAACTCTCTCTACAAACATATGCCGCCAATTATTGCCGTAATTAGAGATCAGAGAAGCGCTAGAATGGCTGTCCCACGCATTATAACACGACAAACGCCACAACTCCTGGTCTCCTATAAATGGCCACAAAAACAGTTACAAATGTGTCAATAAATTATAACAAATAATGCATTACTCGACGCGATATAAAATCCACGACAAACTGATCCAAAGAGTTCCAGAGATCGTAAGTCCAGTTCATTGGATACAATCTGTGGATTAAGAGATTTTAAAAAAACGACAACAAGTCTTATAATGATGTTTAATACCCATTTAAGAATATTGATGACCACTTCAAACGGCAGACACGAGAAGTGTGTCCTCGAAGTCATCTGTTTTGGTGAGCAAATGAAGACATTTCCAAATTCATCGCAATTCAAACGCAAGAATCTTGTGATTAGATCACAATCGCTGTCATCGAAATCATCGTACGTTTCGTTTGGATCAATGTTTGATTGATTAGCGCTGTCTTCGGGATCACTGTTCTCCACGTTTTCATTGTTTGACTCCATTCTGGTCTCCAATCTATACATTTTGAACTCAATGTCGGGAA